CTTTTTTTTTCCTCTTCTTACAACACTTTATTAATCAATGGTTTGCCAGCTCAGGTTCAATAACCCTTTTTTAAAAAAACACCACTTATGTACATGTGAATTTTCAAAATTCTGTAAATAGTATTAAAGAAAACCAGAAATTATTTCATTTAAGGTCTTAACAAGTATAGTCAATTAATTTCACAGTATAATGAGGATTAGTGAGATGTCAACATGAATACAAAATACAAAAACAAGACTATGAACTGAGGTTTTCTTTTGGAGTGAGTTTGTTTTTTAAAGATCAATTCCAAACACCCAGTACAGGGAGGAGGATGGAATGAGTTAGGAAAAAAATGGTATTTTATTTCCCTGTTAACACTAAGATTCAAAATATTTAGCCAAATCACCAATCCCAGTCACTACCTTAGTTCAAATGTTCACTAAGAAAATATTCAAGAAACAGAAATCCATTGTGAGACACCATCCAGAGAACAGCTACATTGCTACATATAATTTATTAACTTAGTAGTTTAGTCTCTCAATATTTAGCAAATTTGTTTAAAAAGTACTATTCCCATTGGTTTATACTAACATTAATATAAATGCATAATTTCAAAGTCAATACATTCCTTTCACCGTGAACATAAAACTTCTTGAAAGATAATTGTGGTTTGTGGTACAGTAATGACTGTGGCTGCTGGGATAGTACTGTTTAAAGTCAAAAAGACAGGCAGGCTTGGAAAAGAATAAACTATATAAACATACTCTCAGTCTTCTACTATTTCCCACCCTTTTCTGTACATACTTGCCTTGTAATACAGTATAATTTATTTCCTCAAATTAAAAAAAAATTAAGATGAATACATTTTCATCTTCACTTCAAAATAACTCCTTTAAATGAAAAAAAAAAGTTCCTCAAGTTTGTTTAAGTTTGGTCAAGAGATGGCTTTCAGTATTTTCTTCACAACACGTACAATTTTTTTATCCTATCTTAGTGAGTCATTAAAACCAGTTTGGCAATAAGACCTCCAACATTTTACAAAAAACCTTACTCAACAAATTATAAAATTGTTAAGCCTGCAATTGAATTTTTGTTAAAGACAATGAATTATAACAAAGTCCCAAAACACATGACCATGCATAAACATCATTGGAACCTGTAAATTACTACAAATAATCTCACCTGTATAATAATTCAACATAAATTTTTGGGGAGGGGGCATAAAATAAATACTATAGTATGTCTTCATTTCTATTTAATGCTGCTAGGATTAGAAGATTAATATCACTAACAGGAAACATCAAACTATCTTAAGGCTATAAGTAGTAAGAACAATTTCCCAAAACAAAGATAAGCAAGAGCCTATGCCAATACAGTTTTCCTGTAGTGTAATATAATTGCTAATATGAGGTATAATCTGTAAGCAATTAATACAAATATAAATAGGAATAAGCTACAACTAAATCATGGTGAAAAAACTTCTAAGCCAAAGTGGTTTGGGGAGAGGATTAAGGGATATGAGAAGAAGGAGACAGGGCAGGTTTCCAGTGGGAACATCATTTAGTGCCTTACTGTTATCATCATCACATATTTAATAATCTGCTATTATGAAAAGGTAAAACCTTTCCAACTATACTATACTGGCCTAGAACATACTTTATGTAGCACAGTAAACTTATTTAAGTATTACTAATCCCTCATTTGCTCTTTTATTTGGATAATAATCACATATGTATATCAAAAACTATAAACAGAATTTTAAAATACTTATCTAATTTTCAAAATGTTAACAGTTAAGATGAAACTATGTACTACAGAATTGTTTAAAATATCTAAACTCAGGGGTAAAACCAAAGGAGAACATTACTATCTTTTCAGTAAATGGCTTGTTGAAACTTCAAGCTCACTCATTTTTATAGATAGGTTTATTTGATGAGGATTGTGATCCAATGATTGTTTAGCAGCAATTTTACCAAACTGTAAATTCTTTTATTAACAAGCATTATAAACAGATAATACTAATCTTATTTAAAAACTGTGAGTGCCACACTGGTGAATATACAGCTCATGAATAACTTAAAAAGTATTTCCCATTTTAAAAGGCAACACACAGCATACAAAAACCTATACTAAAGAAAGAAGCTATAATGTGGATACATGATTGATGTGTCTAAAATTATATATATATATATATATATATATATATATATATATATATATAGTACATAATTAACGTTAATTATGTGATCAGTACATTTTTCTGTATGATTCCCTTCATGCTTCACTTTCCCCAGAAACTGAATTCTGAACTTCCTCTTCTAAAATTGATACAATCAGGTTATCCTTCGACAGCAAATTATATTTCATCACAAATTTAGTAAATCAATGACATAAAAATGTTTCATTTTCATACTCATCAAATATCTGCCGGTGATGAAAATAAGCATGTGAAAATATTCTGTAAATTCTACGGCATACTGATCCTAGTTTTGCTACAGATGATTCTTTTATGCTAACCCTGCTGGGAAAATATTTATTGCTATTCAGAAGACATGCAGCACCATCAAGTGTGTGTCTAGTATAGTCTATAGCAGGACACTCTTTTGGAGTTTTATGAGCTGCACAAAGAAAAATCCATTGTTCAGTTGCTGTCATTTGAGTACAAGTATCTGGGTGGCATTCACTCTGAAGTTTGACAGCAAGTCCATTTAGTTCAAGGCAGAATTGCCTTAAATGTTCATATTTCCACACACCTTCATCTTGGCCTTCAGGAGGTTCAAGAATTTTGTCAATATTGGAGCAATCTGCCCTTATGTTCTGTTGAATATACTGCTGAACAGCAAGTGTACTGTCCATCTCATCAAATGATTCATCAGGCCAATTATAGAAATCCTGCGCCTTTGTGCCCGGCCTGTTCCTCCTCAGAACTGCCGTCCCCTCTGCCATGACCATAGTGCCAGAGAAGAACATCTTAATTTCACCACCTTTTTTTTAGAGAGAGAGAGAGAGAGAGAGAGAGAGAGAGAGAGAGAGAGAGAGAAAATCTTTTTAATATTTATTTTTTTAGTTTTCGGCGGACACAGCATCTTGGTTTGTATGTGGTGCTGAGGAACGAACCAGGGCCGCAGGCATGCCAGGCGAGCCCGCTACCACTTGAGCCACATCCCCAGCCCCTCACCTCATTTTTTAAAGATAATACTGCTGGGTACAAGATTCTTAAGTCATAGGTTCTTACTTTCAGCATGTTGAATATTCAATTCCATTCCATTCTGACTTTTGTTTCTTACAAGTCAGCATTTAATTTTGTGTGTTGTGGGCATTTCCTTATGCTTGAGAAGTAATTTATTTTTGGTTCTTTCAGATTTTCCCTTTGCTTTTCAACATTTTTACTTATAATGTCTCTGGGAGTGTAACTGTATTTATCCTGCTTAGAGTTTTTGAGCTTCTTTGATTTATAAATTAATAATGTTTTTTCTTCGAATTAGGGAAGAAGTTAACCAACATATTGTAAAAATTTCTTCATTTCTTTTTTTTTTTTCCTAATGGTATCAGTTATTTTTTGTTTGTTATTTTTCTTTATGTTCTTCAAATTATAAATATCTATTAATCTGTCTTTAAGATCTCTGATTCTTTCTTTTTCTTTGTATTCTTCTCTGCTTTTCTTTTTTTTTTTTCCAGGCTGGCTTTAAATTTGTTATCCTCTAACCTCAAATCCCAAAGAACTTGGGTTATAGGAGTTTACCACTGTGCCTGGCTTGATTCATTCTTGTCAGATCAAATCTATTATTGGTTTCTTTCAGGTTATTTTCCATTTCAAAATTTATGTATTTTTTAATTCTGAAGTTTCTATTTTGATACCATCTATATATCTGTTGATATTCTCTATTTGATGAGATATTGCAATCGTACTTTGTTTTCATCCTTTATAAATAGTTTTTTTTTTTAACATATTTAAAATAACTACTCTGAAATCTGTATCTGCTAAATCCAACATCTGGACTCCTTTAAAATCAGTTTGTATTGGCACTCGTTTATCAGCTTATAGGATCACAGTTTTCTGTATCTTTGCACATTGCACAATATATGTTGAAAATTTGACACTTTAGATAAGATGGTGTAGATAGTGACTATGTGCTGATGCCCTCATGGAAATGGAGGAATGTTGATGTTCTTTGATTGACCACTTATTATGAGTTGGCTGACCTGACTTTGTAAAGTTTGTCTCCTCACAGTATACAATCTGTGATTTCCATGTTCAGATTTATTTTCTCATTTATTTTTCTTTTAACTTTGCTATCCCATGCTTACCCCTTGATTAGCATAACCCATTTTTTTTGGTTAAAGTCTGTGCTTATACCATCTGGTCAATTATATTTTTTACTCTTATTTTTAGATATGTGTATTGGTTGGGAATATTATCAGAATTGAAGTAATTTTTTGCCCAATGTTTAGATGGAAACTAGTAGCTTGAATTTTTCATTTCCAGTTATGCCAGAGAGAGAACAGCCTTGGGTATACCCACAATCCTCTAGATTGCCATGGGTGTGTGTGGTTTTGTTTTATAGCCCAGGTTTCTAGGTATTAGCCTTAGGGCAGAATAGCTTATTGTTCATCCATTGTTGGATGAAAGGTTTTTCTTCAGTCTAAGTGACAGTGAGGTATCCTACTTTTGTTAAAGATCTGTGTGTGCTTTGGGAATATTTTCACTTGAGCCATGAACTGCTTTGATTGTTCTTGAGTTAGTGCAGCCTACCACTTGCATGCAGCCTTCTTGCACCTGGATTTTACTGTGGTCTGGTTATTCCTTTCCTAGTTATCTCTGTAAACTTCTCATTGCTCTGCTGTTTGTTTGGTTGCTGCTTGTATCATGGAGCTGTGAACACCTTATTGATTGCTTTCTATGAAGATCATATTGTTTTCATCATTGTAATTAGGTATTTCATTCTTGAGTCTTGCTTCTCTAGTTTGCCTCTCATTCTAGGCAGTACCTTATAATCACTGCACAAGAACAAGGATAGTGGATCACTTCTCACTTCTCTCTGGCTGATACCCTTGCTTTAAGAGAGGTGTTTGGGAGCTGGGGCATTCCCTCATCATCTTGGATTGCCCCTTTGGGTATGGAACCTGTGCTTTTGCAGCAGATTGGGCCAGGTGTGATAGCAGACCAGTATAAGGCTGTTGCATGTAGGGTAGAGATTCCACCCCTCAAATGAGGAAGTTGACTAGAGAAAGAGAGCTCTAATCCTCTCAACTGTGCCTGTCCAGAACAGAGATTCTGCCATTAAGGTCTGGGAAAAATGAGAAGTACCAGAACCCTGTTTTCTCAGAGTGAAATTGTAGGTGAAGTTTGGGAATTGAGAGAAAAAAGCATCCCCCTTTTTCTTGACTAGATCTACCTGAACTAAGGCTTATGGAGTCATTCCATAAGTAAGAATTTGGAAATGTGATACATTTTATATCTTCTTTTGTATTCATATTAATTTATAGATATTTCTAATTTTTAGTCTTCAGTATCCATGCACTTTACCTGTTTAAGAACCTGATAAGTTTTTCCTATAGAGTTTCCTGCATTTGGGGGTTTGGTGTTTGCATATTTGTGGTGTTGATCAGTATGTTCCTTTGATCTCTATAGTTCCTACAGAGTGGCAGCTATTCCCAAATTGAATCAGACTCAGTGTGAACTTTAGCAAAATATAGCATCCCTCTGAATCACTTGCTGGGCTTATTAAAGCAAATATTACTGAGTGCTAGGCCCACACTTTCTGATTCATTAAGTCAGAATCTTGGGGTCTTAAAATTTGCATTTTTGGCCAGTACCCAAGTGATGCTCAGGCTGGTGGAAACTTATTTTGAATGCCTGATGGCATCTTTTTTTCTGTCCTGTATATGTTCATTTATTTACTTGAAACTGTGACAATATTCTATTTTTTATATTTTTCTTTGTGAGGAGGATACTGGGGATTGCACTTAGGGGCACTTGGCCACTGAGCCACATCCTCATCCCTATTTTGAATTTTATTTAGAGACAGGGACTCACCGAGTTGCTTAGTGCCTCACTTTTGCTAAGGTTGTCTTTGAACGTGCTATCCTCCTTCCTCAGGCTTCTGAGCTGCTGAGATTATAGGTGTGTACTACCATGCCCTGCTAATTTTTTCATTGGAATATTTTTATAAAGAGAACCTTGCCCTTATCTACTATTTGGTTACCCAGTGTACAGTTAACCAAGGAAAGGTAAGACAATTTCTTGATATTTTTCCTTTTGATTGGCCAATTTTAAGATAATGAGGTAGTTCCCTATCTATTGAAAGTAACCAGTTATAAAAATATACTATTATTAATTCTTAGCATAAAGTATCTTTGATGGGTCTAATAAATTTCTAGTTTTACCATTATTGGAAATGAAATTATTACATCTTTGGCCTGTGGGAGACATTTGAAGGTGACTCCTGAGTTCTAAAATCAGTTATTTCTTTTAGAAGCCATGTCTAAGGTGTGATAATGGGTTGGTCATTCTTTCTATGTTCTGACACAGGTTATATGTGTGTATATGTTTTAGTCAGCTGTTTTGCTGCTGTGACCAAAGGACCTGACAAGAACAATTTTAGAAGAAGAATAGTGCATTTGTTGCTCATAATTTTAGAGGTCTCAAGCCATAGAGAGCCAGTCCCATCCCTCAGGGCCTGAGGCAAGGCAGGGCATCATGGTGGGAGATTGTGGTGGAGTAAAGCAACTGAGAAGCAGAGATAGAGAGCTCTGCTCAACAAAGACAAAGTGTAAACCCCTGAGAAGCAGAGAGAGAGAGCTTTCTTAACAAGGACAAAGTATAAACCCCAAAAGCATGCATGTTCCCAGGGACCCACCTTCTCAGATTGAACCCTACCTGCATGCATACTGCTACCACTAAGTTAAACCCTACCAGGGGATTAGTGCACTGATTAGGTTAAACCTCTAATAACCCAATCATTTGACCTCCAAACTGTCTTGCAGTGTCTGACACATGAGCTTTTGGGAACACCTGCTATCTAGACCATAATGGTGCACATATTTAAGATACAGTAAAAATACTTCACAGGTTTTTATTGATATCAATTTTGACTTGAGACTATACTGTGCTTAAATTTTCCATTTGTATCTCTTTTCCTCTCTAATAAGAACTCTAGCTTTCAAGGACATAAGTTATTATAGAATTAGAAAATCCATTTTTAACAATTTTTTCTTAGTTATCATGGACCTTTATTAATTTATTTGTTTATATGTGGTGCTAAGAATCGAACCCCATGCCTCACACATGGTAGGTAAGAATTCTACCACTGAGCTACAACCCTAGCATCAGAAAATCAAATTTTTATTCATACAGTTTTACCCCATATTGTACAGGTAACAGTTTAACATAGGATACTAATACTTCTGAGTGAACACTAATACATACTGAAAACATTGAAGTACATATTTTTGTATATACTCTCACAGTCTTACTAGTATTTCGAGCTGGAGATATTTTGTGACACTTTAATTCATTTAGGAACATTCTAGAGGACCTTGTCTAAGTCCCTGCTGGAAAGAGGGTACAAAGAAGAGTAAGACACATCTCTGATGTCTAAAATCTAAGGGTCAGCATTGGTGGTTTGTGTGGTATCATTCTGAAATAGAAAGTTGTAGCCATAGAATCTGAGTTTTTTTTTTTTTTTTTTTTTTTTTTTTTTTTTTTTTTTTTTTTATACCAGGAATTAACCTCAGGGGCACTCGCCCACTGAGCCATATTCCCAAACCTTTATTTTATTTGATTTAGTGACGGGGTCTCACTAAGTTGCTTTGTGACTCACCCTTGCTGAAGCTTGCTTTGAACTCGAGATTCTCCTGTCTCAGCCTCCCAAACCACTGGGATTACAGGCATGCATTGCTGCACCCAGCTCAGTTTTTCTTTCTCTCTCTCTTTAAAAAGAGAGAGAGAGAGAG